TTGCTCAGGAGTGAGTGAGCCTTTTAAGGGGACCCAAAGGAAATCCGAAGCCACGTTGTTTTTCCGGGTGTTACAACCAATGTTGTCGTTTCCCGCGCGTTGAACCAAGTGTTTCAGAGGCATACCAGTTTTTTGGGTCTCCGATTCCTACTTTGAGATGCAGCCACCTGGCAGGTGGAGGAGGGGAAGGTGAATGAGGCCTACCAGCAGGTGCTTGGTCTGATACGCCCGGTTGAAACTGAAGGTCCGGGGTGGACGCCCGTCTTTGATGTCAACAAACATGAGCCAAAGGAAACCAGTCTGAGGACCCGTCGTGGCTGGCTGTAGAGAAGGTAAGGGCAGTGTGAGAAAGAATCGACAGAAAGGGCAGGTGGGATTCCTGTAATGGTTGTAGCTGGATTTGATACATGCGTCTCCCCGTGTGGCTACGGGCGTTCGACTCGAATGTGGCACATGTCTGGTTCCTTGGGCTGAGGGGTTGTCGGTGCAATGTCATGCTGTGCTCGTATGTTCGAATCTCGTCCCGCAGCTTACCTCACCTGGCTGTGGACTTAGGTCGCCTTTTGTGACAAGCTGTTGCTGAACAAGCTGGACTTGGTTTCTTCGGAGGAGGCGATCAAGTGCAAGGCGCCTGCAAGAGGTGTACAGCCTGAAAATTGGAAGGGGCCTGCTGCCGCAGGTGAAAGATGCACATGATGCACAAACTGCATCAAAACGTTATGGTTGCATGGTTGCTTCTTTTCTTGGTGCTTCGGAATCATGGGCATGCTGATGGGCCCGAAATTCATCAAACTCTGCGATTAGATATGTGCGACATGAACATGGGGCTCAATGCAAAGCCCCTCGCTTTGGATCAGGGTGAGTTTGCATCAAGGCTGCTTCTTTTTTTCCATATTGGGTCGAACTGGTCGAACGGGCAACTGCTAGCCATTTGCGTTTTGGCCGGCTTGGTGTCCAGCAGGAGCGATTACGCGACATCAACGCCTTTGCCAAGATAGTGCCGTCAGCAACTTGCTCCAATCCTGCACTAACAACAGATTGGTGCTTTGTCTCGTTGCTGAGCCGCTGACAGACAGTTGCAATTTGTTGCAAACACATGCTGCAATCTTGGCAACCACCTGTTTGCAATAACCTTGGAACAAGTGAGAGTCAGCATGCAGGGCTATTCCACGGCTTGATAGGATCCATGGAGCCAGTGTTTGAACGTGTTTGAGTGCGCAGCTTACTTTCGCAGATTGGCTGAGTGCTGCGTGCAGATTTGGTGTAGAAGAGAAGCTCAATTTGTTTAACCCTGATTGTCAACTCTATTATCTAAGCCTCAAACACGTCTTGCCATATTGCTGACGTTGTGCTGCTTGATAGAGGCCTGGATTTGGTGTTGCCAGCCTTGATGTATCCCAAATGTATGCGATTGCGCTGTCAGGCGCGCTCCAGCGACAAGTTTGATATGCGCACAATTCCCAACATGTTTCATTCCGGGTACCCGTTTTTGAGGTTGTCTTTAAGGGAAAAAGGGACGTCGCCGCTTTTTTTTCTTCCCCAAATCCACTTGGCCCCCCAAGGCACCTCTTCACATGGCCTAGGTCCGCGGCCGGGTGAAGCTCTCGGAGCTGTCGAACCTGCGGGCGCACGCCGGGGGCCCATTGGCCGAGTGGGCATTCTGAATCTGGTTTCTGGTGGTTCACTGGTGGTTTACTGATGGGTTCTTATCAACCCTGGCAGTGGTTCAGTAGCATAAATGTTGGTAAGGACTGGCATGATTAGCAAGAGGTGAAACCAAGTGGTTGACAAAATATTATTTCTCCAATACCCTTACTTATGAAAGTGGGGCGTTCAATCATCCCTCCATGTTTCCGCACACTGTCTCAGGGTGGTGGGACTGGAGAGATCGAATGTAGGTTGTCACGTCGCGAGGGACTTGTTTCATTGAGCCCGTTTTCAGCAGCACACGGCTCTACGAACAGACCCGATACTCACCCAGAATTACCCACATTGGTTCCTACACACAAACGTGCACTCGCGCGCAAGCGCACTCGCGCACGCGCACGCCGGCGACCATCCAGGTGCACGCACACTCATGCGCTTTTACACGTAAAGCGCGCAGGCACGCATACACATTGGTTTTGCATCCAATGTCTTTGATGCTTGCCCTCACCGACCCCCGTAGTTTGGGGGAGCTGAGGGCTGACGGGCTGCCAAGCCACAATAATCAGGTATCCAGTAAGTGCGGGCACATGATGACAGTGGTTTGCAGGTGTTCTCTGAATGTGCTAGGCCTATCTTGCTTGAAACTTTTTCTGCGTTTGTACATGACCGCACGAGACAGACATCCCCCTGAGCCCTTTTGTGCGAGGACATGACCAACTTCGTCAACACGGAGATCGAAAAAGAGGCCCCGTGCATGTTGGTGTCAGTTTGTTGCTCCCTGCAGGGAACAGCTGCCCCTCGACTTGCTACAAGCAGAGATAGCGAATAGCTTGTGCGCTTTCTTTTGCAGCCTTGACATGCTACAGCTATTGTTGATGAGACGTAATAAATATTCACAGCAGGAGGAGCTGGTAATGTGGACGTGTAGTTCACGGCTGATGGTTCTTATCCTGCCATTTGTCAACACATGTTGGTTTGCAAAACCTGATCAGGGTGGATAATTTCTGACGCGGGCACAGTGTCAAGTGCCTATTTGTGTTTTCGAAGGTGGCAATGAGAGCGTCGCCGCATTTATTGCTTTTGTATTTGCTTAAGGTCCCATGCCAGAAGACAGTTTTTTCTACATGCCCCTCGTAGGGACCACCAGAAGCACCCCCCATTCGCGATTTGGTCCCAGCCACTTCACGTGAGGCTGAGGATGATGGAGGACATGGAGGCCATCAAGGACACGGAGGCCTGGGTCAGTCTGATGGCACCAATTGGAAGGATCCCTGATGTTGAAGATATGAGCAGTGGCCCAACAGCCGGCATCTTGGGCTTATTGGTTTCACAGGGCGAATAGCGATCCAGATTGCCCAAGCAATCGTTGACAGGAACCATCACAGTTTGCTACGCGAGGTGCGCACAAATCAGATGCCAGAAATGCTTCTGGCTCTGATGGTACAGCATGGCTGCTGTCCCTGTAAGATGTTTAGCCGTGGGTTGCAAACAAATAGCCTGCAGAGCCAAGTCAGGCACTGACACTGATGCTGTTTGAGCAGACTGACCCGCGTTTATCCCAAAGCTTTATTGTCGAGTTAATGCTTGACGGTCGTTATCCAGGGTTCCTTCGTGTTTCGAGTTAATATGCAGACCTGCAATGTTTGCCGCAATGTTTGCCGCAATGTTTGCCGCAATGTCAGGCGTGCTTTCAGCTGAATGTGAATCGGTCTGCATGAATCCATGAACATCACCATTTTGCTTCCTTTGGGCCTGAAGCACACGGAGGTGATCACCTGTCCTTGGGTATCATGAAACTCCAATGGCTGAACGCCTTCGATCTCAGGCCATGGCGGGCATGACCATGGTGAGGGCCATGACCCGAACTGCACGGAGGCGCGCGGGGTCAGTTGCCCACTTTTGAGGGTGAAAGCGCCTTGGAAGGAGAGACGCAGTGGCCCACAATCTTTTCAAAGGCGGCCAGCTCAAACAGCCCCAGCGTTTCTGAAACTTGTGTGTCAAGCAGGACGTGTGACTTTGACGTGCCAGTTTCATTATTCACAGACTTAGAGTCCCTGCTAGGCATCGAACACAAATTGAACCAGTGTTGCTCAGAAAACATCCTGTGCGTGGCTCTAGTTTCACGCTACTCCTTCTTCCAACATGTTCGACAATGACGTGTACAGCGTTGCCCAAACCTGGAATTTCTGGCAGGTTCATGCTCTGTCTGACATTAGGAAGAGTGCTTCCGTTCACAAAATCCGTTCTGACACATGCAAAGCGGTTGATTCTTGAGGACCACGGCCACGGCGATAGCCACTCTGGTGGTCATGGTCATGGACACGGCCATGCTGATGAGCATGGCCATGTAGCCAAGAAACAGAAGCACCTGGGCCCGGGCTGGCATTTGTCAAGGATTGCTGCTTTCATTGATTTAATGCCAACATCAGGTGTGTTGTTTGCTATGTGTATATATATATATACATATATATATATATATAATATGTTTTTTTTGTCCATTGCGATGAGCTGACCCTGAGCAAGGCGAGAAGCAACACATTGATACCTGCCTGACTTGACATTCAGTTGGTCGTGGCTGCAGGGTGATCCTTTTGGAGGGCGTTTCGTCCGTGTTTAGCCATCCGTGCAGGTGTCAGCCTCAAGGGTCGTTGTCACGCACCCCTGCCAGGGTTGTGCCCCAAGCAGCTGGTTTTTCTGTTTGTTGAGGATATAACAACTATACGGAACTGGGGTCATATGGTGAGGGATTCACCACATGTCTTGATTGGAGGTGAGCCAAAGCTGGCCAGTGGCTTCGTTTTGAGATAGCAACGGAGCCATGCGGACTTCTTGTTGCTCGTTCAACGGTACATGTGTGCCGCCCGTGCAGGCTATGCATTTAAGGTCTGCAGGCCTCAGCATAACATGGCATGCTGGGTGTTCCCATTCGTCCACCCTCCATAACCAAGTGCAAAAGCTTGCACAGAGCAGGGCCAAACAAACGGAGTTTGTTGCCTGTAGGTAGCTGTTCACATCAGCTTGCCACACGCACACATACACACAACAAACACTCAGCTTGTCATCAATTGAACGGATGTGATGACTGCACCTTGAGACCTGGAAGAATCTTTCGAACAGAAGTGCAGATGCGCAGCGCTTGGTTCTCCATGGCACATTTGATGGTTTTAGGCTTCAAGGATAGTCTAGTAGTCAGAGGCGCAGTACTCCTCCAGCTGCCTGCTCTGGGGCCGCAACTTGAATTGAAGACAGCCTCCCAGCCCACAAAACAACCGCTAGGGCGCAGCCAAACCCTGTGGATCGTTCGTGTCGCCGGTCTGGCGCTGAGGAGCAGGCACGACAGTCGGGTGAACTCCATGTCGCTGGTGCGGGAGGGGGAGCTTCTTCCTTCGAAGCTCTCTGCCTTTATGCAATCCCTGGGCCAGCTGCCGCCCGAGAAAGGCCGGGCAGCCAAACCGCTGGATGCTATTGATTGGGTGTGTCGAACAGAAGCTAATTTGTGGGACACAGCTTATGGTGGGCTCAAAAGCTCGGCACAAGGCGACAATCAAAGGAAGTTTAGAAGGAACTTCCGTGTTACGGCCACTAATTGAAAGCTAGCTCTCTGAGACAGATGACAACAGAAGGAATAAGCCCGCGAGAAAATATGCGTGCGCGTGTGGTGGGAGAATAGACATGTGCAAACAGCATGGCCCTGTGCGTGAATTGGTGCCTCCGGAGAGCTGAAAGCTAGCCTGTTCGCGGCGCCTAGTCGGACCAGTCTCGGACCACGTTCGGCGCAGGCTTTGAATTCCGTGGTAGGCGCAGCACTTTCGCAAGGTCGAGTACAGATTTCGTGACAGGGGCAGCGCTTTCGCAAGGTCGAGTACAGATTTCGTGACAGGGGCAGCACTGTCGCAAGGTCAAGCACAGATCTCGTGGCAGGGGCAGCACTTTCGCAAGGTCAAGTACAGATTTCGTGGCAGGGGCAGCACTTTTGCAAGGTTGGGAGAGAAATAGAGAGATAGGTAGATAGATGGATAGATGGACAGATAAATAGATAGATGGATAGATCAAGAGACAGACAGATAGACAGATAGATAGACCGATAGAGATAGATAGAGAAAAACATAGATTGCAAGATAGATAGACTGAAAAGGGAGATAGATAGATAGATAGATAGGTAGGTAGGTAGATAGATAGATAGAGACAGATAGATAGGTCTAGATAGATAAGTTTGATAGATAGAGAGATTAGACAGATAGAGAAAATACAGAAAACAGATAGATAGACAGACAGATAGTTAGATAGTTAGAGAAGAGACAAAAGAAAGAACAGCGTAATAACAAGGAAAGAGAGAAAGGAGTGGGGAAGGAAGGAAAGACAGACAGAAAGAAAGAATGGCGAAGAAAAAAGAAACAAAGAGAAAGGAGAAGAAGAGAACAAGAATCAAGAAAAGAAAGAGAAAGAGCACTATAGTTTTTATATTTTTGAAACTTCCGCCCACCGGCTGCGCCGGCTCTACTGGTATACTTGTATGGTAGGCAAGTGATGGTGGCACATTGTCAATGTAGGGAATGGCAGAATCGTTTTTTCCACGACTGTGCACTTAGTCTGAAACATGCATCGCCGGAACATTGCCACCCATGGAAGCTGCGTGCAAGGGCTTCCACCTGTCACGGCTGTTCAATGATTCAAGGTCCGGCTGCTGCAAAACAGGGCAGACAGAGTTCACGCTTTCAGCTTAAGTTGACAGATGTTGCCGCGTTTGTTGAGAATGGCGCCCCATTGTGAGGCACCATCTTCAGAATTAAGGGCATCCTTGCGGTGAAGAACCACCCCTACAAGCACGTCTTCCACGCTGTCATGGACGTCAGTGATGAAGCAGACGCTGAGCGGTGGGGTCCCGATGAGAAGCGGATCACTAAGATCGTTTTCATCGGAGCCTCGGACGATTGGTCTTCTTTCTCCAGCCGCAAGCGACAGGGTGGATTCCTTAGGCATAGGTTGCCTCAATACACTGCCAGGACAAAAGTTGCGCTCCTGTTACACGAATGTTTGCCGAGTGTGACTCACATGAGCGCAGCCCCAGAAAATCAATTGACTGGTTGCATCAGTGATCCCGCCATCCACTTGTGCTCTATGCGTCCATTTCCTAGATCCGCATAAATCAACCAGGGCCAGTTGGCGTCTCACGAGCCTGTTGGGCGGGCCCCCATTCCTGGAGTCCATCCACCGGGTATGGAATTTATTTCAAGCCTCTATAGAGGCTTTCCCACACTCACAGTCACACTCACACTCACACTCACTCTCACACTTGGGTGAGTGAGGGAGAGTTTGAGTCCGAGTGATAGTGAGAGTGAGAGTGAGTGAACTAGAGAGTGGGTGGGCGGGCGGGCGGGCGGGCGGCCGGGCGGGCGAGTGGGTGGGGTGGGTGGGGGTGGGGGGGTGGGTGGGGCGGGTGGGTGGGTGAGTGAGTGGCTGGGGGAACGAGAGAGTGAGAGAGTGAGAGTGAGTGAGAGTGATTCATCATATATAAAACTTCGAGACACAAGGTGAAACGGAGATGGCGTTCGGGTTCGTGGCTTGTATCAGGTTTGATGGTACCCCGTTTTGGTCAGTTTTAAAGAGAGGCAAAAGGAAACCAAGCCGTTTGGAGTCCATTTAAAGGGCACACCCAGGTGTCACAGACCTTTCAGCCGCAATGCCTCGACCCTTGCCAGGAAAGGCGCTGGACAAGGCCTTCATCAGGGAGGCGTTGGAGGAGTGCTTCGCGTGCTTTGGCCTGAGGGCAGTGACCTTTTTGGAATTCTTTGCGATCAACACAGCCCCTTGTTGATTCATAGGGTGCGCCAATTTTCGAGGAATCCTTCGCTTTTGGGGCAAACGCCCCCCCAACCCCCCCCTTGGTAACTTACCCGGTAAATTTCCGGGGTCAACAGCAGACGCGGGTCATGCCTTTGGATCGACATGTTTCTCCACGGGGCTGTTTACATCTGCTACATCTTTTGCCCACTCCTCAACTCTTGTCCTGGAAGCGCCTTGTGAACCGCCGAAGGCAGGTCAAATACCTGCCATGTACACCATCTCCTCAATCTTGCTTGTTGCGGAATTGGACTGCCGAAAGAGCCCCTCCATTGACCAGCCCAGGAAGTGAGGAGCGTCCGGCTCCAGTTCTCACCCTTAAGAACCCAAGCGGGTTCTGCAATCTTGCGTGGTCGCAGATGCTTAACTTCAGGTTGATCAGCCTTACAGCTTTCCGCAGCTGAGCTTCTTCGTTTCGTTCCCCACCACCATGGTGAAAAGCCAAAAAAGAGATTGCCAATGTCACAACACTCATCTCACACCACCAATTAAGCTTCAGCCGGCTTATGGCTTCACGAAATGGATTCATTCAACTTTCAGTTTTGCCAAACCCGGCTTTTCGGCATGGGCTCAGCTGGGTGACCACAATCCAGAACCCCACCCCAAATCTGCTCCGGCTCGGCGTGCTCTTGAGGGGTGTCCCCAGCCAGCCCTGGCCCGGGAGAAAGTGGTTGGCTTCAGTTGAACCAGTTTGGGTCCGTAAGCTTCTTGCCACGGGATCATCGAAAGCCGTTGATCAACGAATCCGCTTCGGACGTTTAGACTCATCCTCCAAGTGCAGCAGGCACAGGGCGGCGGGGATTCCAAGTCGCCAAATGGATCTGGCAACGCCTCGAGAATACCGCGAGCCCAAAGACCGCTACCCCGGAAAGTTATGTGAAAAAGAGTCCCGCGGGAGAGTGGGCAGCTGGTCAAGCCTTATGCTTGGCGGACCATTTGTTTTTGTTTTAGTTTAAGAGTGTAGCGATCACTATTGAGGAGAGAACAGGGTTTGTTTGCTGGTTATCATAGTTGCGACCTGGTAGCTGACTACGGTGAGCCTTATCGGATGAGTGACAGTTGTTCCACCTGGACTGGAATATGTTTCAGCTGCACTTCTAAGTTAATGTTGGATTCGTTGGATTACATGTTTGCAAGTTGAACAGCTCATTTGCGGCTGATGGATACTCGAAGCCTTTCTGGCGGTTGCCCGCATGATTGGCTCAAACATATGGACTCAGAACCGGAGATGATTTGGACGGGATCCGAATTCCCTTTGGCCAATACCCTGCAATGATCCCACACGGAATTGAGTTCCTTGGCAACCACGAAGCCCATGAAGCCAAACCCTGCATGAAAAGATGATCAATGAGACCTGCCAGAAAGAGGACAACCGAGTGCAGCATGAAGATTTGTGAGGGATGAATCAAGAGTTTCTAGAATGAGCAGGGTGGCATGGAATCATGACCGCAACGATGATGTGCAACAAGCGCTTAGAACAAGAGCATTCAGAATCTGCCCTGCTCACTTCAATCAGCAACCAGTGTGTGGCTTGTCAAGCTGTTCTTTGAATGGGGAAGTCTCTCTCAACCTCCGATGCGCGGTATGACAAGAATCAAATTTTGGCATAGGTCGGGGTGCAGGAAGTAATATACCGCATCAATGGTTGACACATTTTCCGGTCGTTGTCTACAATTGATGAGATTAATTGGACCCCCTCCCCACTCCCGCTTCGACAATCCATCTCACTGAAATAGATGACCACCGCAAAATCAATTGGCAGAACTGGGTAGTATTGCTGGATATTGCTGGGGCCAATTTTGAGCTTCCATTTGATTCGGTATTGCTGGAGCTGAGTGATTGAGTTGGGGTTGTTGTTTTCTTCCCTGAATCGTAGTCTAGGCTCTTCATTTGTTTCAGATTGTTTGATTGCTTGTTGCTGTTTTTGGTTCACGTTTGTCACGCGTTCTGACTTTTGCTGGGGAATTCCCAGAATCATTGTTTCACCAGGATTTATTAATCGTGCCAGGGAAACTCGAAGCAATTATTTCAGGCGTTTCGTCCAACACATGCTGAGCGCTCTGTGGCCGTATGGCTTTGGCTCCAGTGGCCACTTGCCGATCTGTGGGGATCGAGAGGTCGGGTTTGCGTTGCATCTCGCCTGCATCTAGGTGTGGGTGTGGTGGGCGCTGCCCTGCTTCCGCTGGCCTGTTTCTTGAGAAATTTGGGTGCTTCTCAAAATAGGTGTCCACAACATGGTTGATTTCCTTTTGGTTTCCGTTTGCGTACCAAACAAAAAATGTCTACCGTTTTGAGAGACTCCCATTTGCAGCAGAATGCAGTGTGTCGATCGCTCAGAACTGCCGCAGTCGCCCCTCATATTTCTGTGCAGCATTTTTATGATGCCCCGCCCTTTGCAACGCCACACGTAAGCAAAGTGCGCGGGGCCACCTTTCGTCCGCCAGAACCACCTCAAGATGTTTCCTGCTACAAGGGCACCTGGGCCCATGCCAACCCAACTTGTCTTGCAAAATCTTGCTCATGCTATGTATTGTTGTTTACCCCTCCGCATTTGACTAAGCTGGGGCCGAAGCTTGTATCATCTCTTCTACGTGAGATACCCAGCTTAATTTATGCTGGTTCTTGTCTGCTCAGACTGTCAGGTTGTTGCGTGCTAGGCAAAGACGACGTTCAAGCCTGAACGGAAGCACGGACAGGAGCCTGATGTTTACATTGACCGGTACTCATGTTTGCCCTCCGCCAGAGCGAGCGCTCTCACAACCGCGGCCTGTTATGCCCGATTTCATGACCCTCACATCGTGTAACAAGGCTCGAGCCGAATTGCCAAAAGGGAGAACCTCATTTCAATCTTCACATTTTTGTACTGAGCTCCAATGTGGTAGACGCACGCTTGCTTCATAGGTCCTACTTGCATACACTGCATTGACATCGCCCTTTTAGAAGCTAAACAAGTTGGATCAATTCGGGCATGATCCCCACATGTTCTTCACGTGCAACTTCTGTATTTGTCACATATGATAAGACCACTTGTTTGGGGAATTTTCACCTGGACAAAAGCAACAAATTGGTCAATGTCCAACCCATGTGAATAATCCAAGGGTTGGACATTTGCGAAATGCGGACCATACCCAATTTGGCGGTTGGTTCTCAAATGGATCCACTCACTGCCCAAGCCGCTGTGCTATGGCGACCTTGGTTTTGCCTGATGCAAACAGGTGGCTTGTAGTCGGTTATGTGACTGGAATCCCCTGTTTTGCTCCATGCCCTTTGGACGTTTATGGGCTTCAGAGTTCCTCGTCCCAGGTACATAGAGCGGTGGCACCCTTTGGGTCTTCCGCAGGCAAACCTCCCACTCCCAGGCCGGGATGACTCGTGCTGGACACTCGATTTGATCGGGGGGTCCTGGGCCATTCTGCAGTAAAGGCGCTGCACTCTGTTTGATGTCTTCTCATTCTCATGGGAAGGGAGAAGCACCGATATGTCTATCTTGCAGGTGCTCTGGACCACCCCATTTTGCTGTGATATATTGAACGCGATTCTATCTCTTGCAAGGGTTGCCAGGTCAATTGTTGCCACATGTTGCCACTAGAACGACCTGCTAGGCCTTGCACATAGCTTCGACTACATCGGGATCCCTCCGAACCGGTGGTTTCTTTGCCTTTCATTCCATCGGAATGAGAGGGGCCGGTGATTTTGACGCTTTCCCGTTGGATGCTTTACAATGTGCGTGCTGCCAGGCGAAGATGGGAGACCCACACACTGCTTGGCTTCATTTTCACGGGCGGCAAAGATTCGAGGAGCCGCTTTTGATGCGAGAGAGCCAGCCCCGGTTGCCCAAATTGGAGTCGACACACAAGTGGAGCCTTGCCAAGACGGTACGGCCTTAAGGGTTCTTGAATACACAATCACGAGGGAGCTGCGCACATCGACTCTTTTTCTCACGAGGCAGAGAGCAACTGGATGTTCCTTTGGCTTTGGGGTACCATGAACAAACAATTGCACCGATTTGCGACAAGATGTTTGTTCATGTCAACCCCTTGTGTTGGATGTTGATACATGCTGATGAACCTTGAAACACATTTTGCACGACGAAGGGTGAACAGATGGCCGCGCCATGATGCCGTCGGATTGGGGAATATAATATATATATATGTATCTATATACATATATATATATATAGGCAGAAGCAGAAGTTGATGTTTGGGAGAGGTCATTGGCAGAAAACACATGAAGCTGCAAGATGTAGTCAAACCTATCGGTTCTATCAAATTCACGACGCCTCTAGGGATCAAGAGGTATTTCAAGCATTCATATGCTCAGTTGAAAGGCCGTCTGCCTTTGCTATGCCGTCTATGGAGAACGTCCGTATTGGATAAGAGAAGCAAGACATCAACACTTGTGTTGCTCCATCTGTGAGATTCCTGTGGCGTTTAGTTCTGGCAGGAAATGAGAGGCCTGAATGCCAACAACGAAGCAATGGTCGACGAACTGGTAGCGCCTTGACTTTCTCTTCCTCCAACACTGGGACCCCCAAATTTGAGCACCCAAAACCCGCGGATCCAAAAGTCAATGGGCCAATGGTTTTTCGGCACTGCTGATTTGGCGGTTGCTGGGTTGTTTGTCAGTTCGGCTGCGGATATTGGGGGGCTTCTCAACGGCTTCACAAGTGGGACTTGATGATGTCAGAATTCATGGCAACATTGCATGAAGTGAAGACATCTAGTCCACGTGAAGGTAATCCCAGAGTGGTTGACGGATGCTCCGAGAGGTTAACTTAGACCATAATCCAACAACATATTATAGCGTTTCTGCAAGTAGTTCACACCAGCTGACCATGGTGATACAACGATGTACATCAGCTGAATCTGTTAATTCGCTCAGCCGGGGAAAAGGTGAGGGAGCACTCTCATTGGCTCCGCTGGCCGTTGCACAAAAGTACCAGCTGACCCGTCTCCCACTTTGAGGTGATAGACGTCACATGCACACGTTGTGCAGGCACTTCAAGGGGGTGACGCGTTGGTTTTTCAGGTTTGTCAGCTTGGCAAGAATCATTGAACAACCGTTCCAAATCTGCTGGAGTGCGGCAGCTGAAGCAGCGCTTTGCGTGGGCACATGCGACAGAAAACTAGATATGCCTGCGGTTGCCATTCGTAGAAGCGAATAATGAATAATGCTTTTGTGTCATTTTGTTGTGTCTTGCTTCTTGGTTGGCTGGCTGGCTGGCTGGCTGGCTGGCTGGCTGGGCTGGCTTGTTATGGAGACGGCCGACTTGTTGAGTCTCCACAACTAAAGCGCGCTTTTTCATCGCTTGCCTTTACTATTACAGAGACGTGGAACTCCACTGCGGGACAATCCGCGCCGCTGCTCGAACCCTGTATTGCCCCGATGAAGCGTCGCAACTCATTCGTTTGCGACTTGCCCAGTCTTTGTTGCCTCCAGTGGCGCAGCCCGTTTTTACCACCCTAAACCCCCTAAACCTTACGGAAAATGCGGCAATATCCTGGATTGCAACTTCCATGGCTCGACCCTGCACAGCCCAGGAATCCCATGCCCTGCGGACCAACGAGTGCATCGATGCCTTCAAGGCACGTGGTCATATGGGTCGAGAGATGGTGGGCAGGGCCTGGTGACGATGGGCCCTGTCCTTTTAAAATGCCTGGTGTCCCTGTGCTTTCCTTTGGAGCTTGAGCTGGGGTCGGGGACGATGATTTCGCCCGTCCCCCCAACAACCGCCGCCGCCGCCACCACCATCACCACCATCATTATCATCATTATCATCATTATCAGCATCATCATCAGCATCAGCATCAGCATCATCATCATCATTAGCGCCATCGTCATCATCAGCAGCATCACCATCATCACCATCATCATCAGCAGCATCACCATCATCATCGTCATCGTCATCATCATCATCATCATCATCATCATCATCATCAGGATCATCATCATCACCAGCATCAGAATCAGCATCAGCATCAGCATCATCATCATCATCATCATCATCATCATCATCATCATCATCATCATCATCATCATCATCATCATCATCATCATCATCATCATCAATCTACATAAATGAGTAAATAAATCAGAAAGCAAATCAATAGATAGATACATAAATACATGAGTGAGTGAGTGAGTGAGTGAGTGAGTGAGTGAGTGAGTGAGTGAGTGAGTGAGTGAGTGAGTGAGTGAGTGAGTGAGTGAGTGAGTGAGTGAGTGAGTGACTGAGTGAATGAATGCATGAGTAAGAAAGTAAGTAAGTAAGTAAGTAAGTAAAATAAGAAGCAGCAAGCAAGCACGCAAGCACGCACTCACACACGCAGGCGAGCAAGCAATCAAGCAATCAATGACTCAATCGATCTCAATCACTCAATTACTCACGCACTCACTCACTCACTCACTCAATCACTCAATCACTCAATCACTCAATCACTCAATCACTCACTCACTCACTCACTCACTCAATCACTCACGCAATCCATCACTCCATCACTCAATCACTCAATCACTCACTCACTCAATCACTCAATCACTTAATCACTCAATCACTCAATCACTTACTCACTCACTCAATCACTCACTCACTCAATCACTCAATCACTCAATCACTCAAGCAGTCAGTCAGTCAGTCAGTCAGTCAGTCAATCAATCAATCACTCAATCACTCAATCACTCAATCACTCCATCACTCAACCAGTCAGTCAGTCAATTTATCAACCAATCAGTCAATCAATCAATGTCAATCAATCAATCAATCAATCAATCAATCAATCAATCAATCACTCAAACACTCAATCACTCAATCACTCAATCAGTCAGTCAATCAATCAACCAATCAGTCAATCACTCAATCAATCAATCACTCAATCAATCAATCACTCACTCACTCAATCAGTCAGTCAGTCAGTCAGTCAGTCAGTCAGTCAGTCAGTCCACCCTCCTCATCATCGTTTTGATTGTCATTCATGTTGTGTTGAAACGGAGGAGGGGTTGGTACATGCCTTCAGCAACCAGTCAACAACAAGCTAAAAAGGAATGATAAAGAATCGCGGATAGCCCTTTGCGCAGCGGTGCTAGTCAATCGCTTGTCCGGCGGCAACTCGAGGCTGTGGACCGTGGTCACTTCTGGCCTCCAGGGGGCGACCTGGCCTACGCCGATATGCCTTTGCCCCTTGGCCAATTGGAAGCTGAGGAATGGGCGTTGCTGCTTTCTTGATATTGCAAGGGAACATTAAAGGCAAGCCGACAACTCACATGGAGCCTGAACCCCATCTCATGTAGTTTTTGTTTTTCCATTCTTGCTCGGGACACCCAAGCAGCTTTTGCATTTTGCCAGGTTTTGAACAAATCACGGAGGATGGATGCAAGGTCTTCAGTAAAGGCAAATACGTCTAGTAAAAGCCGCAATTGCGCAAGCTCGGAAAAGTGAAGCATATCTTCAATGCCCGACCGGGGAACATGCTAGCGATGGCCGGTCTTTCAATCGCAGGCGCCATGGCCGACTGCACCTGTCGGCACCGCACATCTATGGCAAGGCGCGTTGGACATCGCCACGGTTGGAGTGGGGTGGCTGAGTAAAGAGCCGGTGGGGTTGAGGAGCGCAGTTGTGAAGTGGATGGACGACCTACTTGACCAGGGTGGAATGACAGCAAGATTCCTGCAGCTTCTTGTACGTGCTTCTACTCGTCCTACTGTGTGTGTACTGGACCGGAAGGAGTTGTTTGATGTAAAGGCGCAGCTTTGATGTTTGTGTGCTTTGTAAACTTTGGTCAAGTTTGAAGTTTGGATCGCGTGGCCTGAGAAGTTGCAAGGCGCTGATTGCGTTTCCTGGCTTTGGAGAGAGAGAAGCTCGACACGGGTCCACTTTTTGGGGGCACTAGCTTTTTTGACCGTGTTCAGCATGTAGAAGAGCCGCCAGGGAAAATTTACACAAGCTTGTTCCCTGAGCAAACTTGCTCTGCCTGCTTCCGCCTCTCCGCCCGGGCTCCTTTGGGCAGGCGCTGGAGTCGTTGATGCCTTTGCAGCGCCGTGCTCAGCCATCTTTGCACATATGGACAGGCCCACAAGGTGTCAGGCACTGGGCACCTGGGAGTTTCTCAAAATGCCGGACCACCCTTTTGGTATTGTGGAAATCAAGGGAAAGCCAACTATTTTGGGGGACCCCTATTTTGAGAAACACTCTGAGTTCTTTTCTTTTCCTGGAGCCTTGCCTTAGGCCAGGGATGTCCTTCCTGAACATTGGCCGGGAACCCTGAGACTGTGGCAGGGCTTTTGGTTAAGCCTCCACCAACAGCTCTGGACTCCAGGGCCAACATATGTGCGGTCATTCTCATTTGGTTTACAGAGGACTTGGTTCATGAGTTTTCCCCGGCCTGCCCAGTTGGCCTGCCCATTTGTGCGGGTTGCTCTCTTTTTTTTGCATGCCAGCCACATTTGCTTGATCGCTACTTGGACCGTACCGTTTTCACACCCCCTCAAAGATGTCAGATGTCTAACCTTCATGTCAGTTGTTCTGTAGTGGTCCGGTAGCTGTTGCAGCTTCCTAGAATTGAGAGGAGATGCATCATTCTCAAAAGCAATAGTGCCGCACTTTGCTCAGGTGCACATATTTAAAGGTTTTGCACAACAGCCTGAGATTTCACCCACTGGGAAATTACCTCATTTGGGGCTCTTTCCAGATGAAACCTTTTCATGTTGGAATGTGCTTGATCATTTAGCAAGGTTAAACATATCTCATGGCGTAGTACATTCGTCTGAAGAACCTAAAGCATTCGGCCTGTAGCGTGCTGCACTGTGAGTTCCATGCTTTTAGCCAGTATGCGACTGCGAACATGTTTCACCAGTAAATGAACGCAGCAGTGTAATTTGTCGGCAAGACTTTGGCTTATTTGTTTGATTCTGCAGATCCGGGCATCATCGGAAAAGCTTTGAAGGAGTGCCCAAGCCGTGCCCTCATAGCTCAAACCATTGCGGAGCTGCTTACCAGCAATGCAAAGCTCAGGCATGACATGTTCAAGGTGTGCTGAGCTTCCTAACCTACCCTCTCTCTCTTCCTGCGAGGAGGCTGCCCCCTGAGTCGGTTCAGCGGATGCCTGCCCAATTCATCGTCGCTGCGGCAGGATCAGGCACAGGATATTTCAATTGCATCGTGCCAGTGGCCCAGTCCACTGACGCGCAGTAGAAGGGTTGCCTTTCGATGGGCTCGCAGAATGGTTGCCCATGGCTTCTGACCATTTGTTTGGTAACCTGGCTGGCAGCCGCCCTTGTGATGTTGTATACCGTAGTTTCCCTGCCAGCCATCAGTGGCCATCGGCTGATTATTTATTTTGGTTCGCTGTCAGGTATACATTCAAGCCAGTGTCTCGGCTGACACGCAATGACAGAAAGATCTATGTTACCAGGCGCAAGCTGCTTTTGCTTCATTGTTTGACACTACGAATCATTAAAGCATGAAGCTACACTTTGTTTCATGGCAAGCTGCTCCGCATCGGGGTGTTTTTCAAGCAAGCGGGGTATGGTGCGTCGAAGTATATGCTGGTATGGTCATCACTTCATGTTCATTTGGTTGAGTTTATCATGCAATCACTGGTTTTCCATCAGCTGACGCTAGAAACGGTTGCTGAAACTCATGACGAGATATTTACCGTGGCAGAGGGAAACCCACCAAGCAGCTGGAAAGACCGCATTGCTCCGAAAAGTGCACAACAGCTAACGGTTTCTGTTGGCAGCCAGCCATTTCAGGGTCGTTTGCTATCCCAGCTGTTCAAAGTGATCTTGGATGGTTTCCGAAGCCGCCACTATCGAACTTCAAGGCACTGGGGCACGGTAGTGCCAGGCTCATCGAATATCCAGAGGGGAGGAAAAGAGGCAAACAGGGCCAAGAAACACGGGAAGCTGGCCCAGGAAGGCCCAAGCAGCACAACAAATTTCAAGTTGGATTTTTGCCACAAGATTGATTTGGCTCATGTTCCCTATGTCTGGTTGCGGCTACCTGTTTGCGAGGTCTGAATTTACAGGGCCTCATGCTGCCAACCACGGCGTGGAGATTTGGTGCTGCCGGCGATTTGGGGATGGGTTGTGAAAACGAAGGACACATGAAGTTGCACGAGGAGCAAGTGGAAGCCTTCTAGAACCCCTGCAATCTTTATGGGTTCAGCGTCGAGATCAACACTTTCCATTCACGGGCGTTGGTAAAATCCAGCGTCTTAGCCCGAAACCCGTGCTTCATCTCTGTGCATGTTGAATAGCAATGCAGCTTGAGGCGTGGATGTTTGCATCTTTGCATGTTTGCGCCTGTGTTTGTGTTTGTGTTTGCGTGCGACAAGGTTCGCGCAGATGTTGACGTAGCATGCTCTCTTATGTCGAAGCGTGATGCGAACTCTCTAGGAGCCAGGACCGAAGATTTTGTCGATTCCAAGGATTCTGGTGCGGCGAAGGGAAACGAGCACTCTGCTCAGCTTGAGTGCATATGACGATTGATGCAACCTCAAAAGATTGATCATGCCTGCGGTGACCTGGATACATTGAGGCAGAAGGACTATCTCCGCTGTAAACAAAGCCCGCAACTGGTGCTTGATAATACGTGCGCGCTGACAGGCGGAGTACTTGCCTAATGTCTTTCACATCAAAGAGTGTTTTGAGATAAAACATTCAAGCTGAACTGTTGACCGCTCTTCTCTTTTCTTCCTGTTTTGGTTGCTCATTCTTCGGGAATGTCGGCGCCAGATCCTGGGTACGACTTGCAGTTTACGGTAGCACACTGAGGAGACATGGTGCCCTTTCTCAACAGATCAAAGACCGAAGTGACATGTTGCCTTCCTTCAGTAAACATGGGCGCAATCTGACAATTTGCGCTCAGCCAATCTAGAAGCCCATCGCGCAAAGGAGCTTACCTACGCAGTCCACATGTGCCACAATTCAAGGGTCGAGCAGGTTACTCGAGTGGAGCATTGCATTCTATCAAGAAAGATCACAAGGATCCTCATCAAGGAATCATGCCCATCCGCAAAGGAGTGTCAACCACAGCATTACATTGAAAACGGCAGCCTGTTGGGTCAAATCCTGGAAGTCAGCAAGTGTCAACTTAGAACAGCTCTATATGCGTGAGTAGTCCGATAATCTGCTGTCACCTCAGCCAGGCCAGAGACAGTCGCCCATGCCCGCGCGCGCACTGCAGCGCTGGGCCCGAAGGCTTAGTTCCTTCCCGTTGTCTCTCAGCAGCACAATGCAAAGAAGAACCGCGTTGGACCCGCGATGTTCTCGGGCCAGTCTTCTCAAACCACAAGAGCTGGATTAGCTTGGCCTCGGCCGCGCTCTCCCGGTGAGTTTGCAGCAAAGCCGCTTGGAGGTCTTCAAACGTTAGGCTCGGCCTCGGTCTCTTCCTATGTACCCGAGCAAATGCCAGAGGCTTTTATATTTCCTTTCTGTAAGCAGCAGAGGAACTCAGAATGATAGAGGATTGCAGGGAAAATATTGGGTGACTCGTTTGCGGCATTACAATCAAGCTGGACTACTCCGCCATTGCTTCAATGATCAGCCTGGCAAGGGAGACGAGTTTAAGATGTTTGCAGCATGTCGTCCAACCACAGTGGGACGCCGCTCCTGCTTGCAACTACCAGATAACTTGAGGGCTTTGATGGACCAAGTCCTGCCCAGCTTTTGTTGGGCTTTGCCGGGCTTGTATATTGCAATTATTCTTGTAGAGCGGCTGCAATCGTTCTCCCAAATCCATTTCCTGAGGCAAGCGCACCATACAGTTTACAGAGGGGAACATCTACCAGCTGAACGTGAACGACACCATGCGCAGGGAGCCGAGCCAAAGTTGCTGCATTCTGCTCACACATGTTTTTGTCTACTTTGCCTTGCATTTAACGATGGTATGTGAGCACATAGTTGGATGTTGATGGCGCTTGACTTGAATGCATGAGGGCGTTCGTTTGCTGTTTCAGCAAGCAGAGCTGCACATGTCCACATAGAGGCAAGCAACCCGAATAGGTGATGGCTTTGCATGCCTTCCCAGATTGTTAGCTCCGCTTTCGCCACGCATGCGCTTGAAACCCACAGTAAGCCCAGGGTCAAACCATCGCTTAGCCACGGTGCTTGCCCCTCGATGCTTGACTGGTGCAAAACTCACTGATTACCAGTTCCAGTCCTTCAGAATGTCTAAGCAGCTGCAGGAAATTCTACCGGAATCCTTGTTTTTTTTTTTGTTGTGTGTGTGTGTGGGTCATTTGCCATAGAATATCCTGTAGCTGGCTTCTGTGAGAATAGTCGGATTCCGGAAAGCACTGTCAGACGAGGCTATGACCGCATCTACGTCGGAGCATGCGCAAACTCCAAGTCCAAGTACCTCTACAGGCTGGGGGAAACATGGAGCTGATCGTTCAAATGCCTCTTTGCAAGTACCACTTGGCGGTTGCCTTTGATAAATGCACATTCTTCGCATGCAATCTGCCAAACTGTCAGCTAGTGCAGTAACTGCAAGCAAATCGTTTCCTACACTTCTTGTCGCTCGGCACTTTGGAAGACTCTCCCTGACCTAGCTAGCGGCAACCACATGGGTGGAGAGACAAAATCTGAGAAGCGCTGGAATTTGTTTTCGTCAAGGAGTGAGTGCATCACTCAATGGCTTCCACTTCGTGCATAGATCGGCCCGTGGAAGATCGAGACCCGAAGCTTTCTGCTTCAAAGTGATGATCCAGTGCTTTGGACGCTCGTGATTCAGACTCCCCAATTTGGATTGGCGTTTAAGTTCTGATTTGGATCTTTACCTTGGATCAGGGTTGGGATAAGGCGAACTGCAGGATTGGGCTGTTTGGATTGTGTGGACGGATTGGATCGGTCGCGGTGCGATTTGATATCTAGACCTATTTATTTGGTGGTCTGGGAGCAACTGACATTGGTGACCTTGATGAAGATCTTTGGGCATGAACTGTTGGCGGCGTAGTTCCCACTATTCTCGAAGCCGTGCAACTTAGATTTGCGCGGTACACCACTCGCTTGTATCCATGAGCTCAGGTCATTTCCAACCGCGCTGTGCTACGGGCAAGACATATGGCCATGACGCCCAGCAATGGTGACCTTGCCCCCGAAACAGTACCATGACACAGCCTAGGAACAGCCACGCATGACAGTCTGAGCACAGTGACCAGCTGCCAGCCTGCAAGGCTCTTGGAGGTTGGCGGCATACTTATCGGGCCCTTTCAGGCAGGACACGGACGCACGTTCCATTTCCCGGCCAGTTTCCAGTATACCCTGAAGGAGGTGTCTGCCACTTGTGCTTTGCATATTTACATAAGCTACATGCTTTGTGTTCAACCGCCGGTCTGCTCTTCGTTCACAATATGTACCCCTAAAACGTATTAATAGCGCACCATCTTAAAGACGTTGACCGATAGCACCACTGCCCGGACCAGCATTCCTCATGTGCTAAATGGACCTTCTGATCATGTTGACAGAGCGGGGCCCCCTTTAAGAAAGACAGTATTTTGCCCTGAAGATAGCACCTTCTGCTGCATGGCATGCTTCGCAAAAACATATGAGTGGTGGCCATTCTCGTGGTCTTCATGGAATTGTTCAGTTGAGTGCTGGCTTGAAAGTATGCCTTCAAAGTTGACTTTGATTCACACTGGTGCATTTCAAATCGTACCGGTACATTAGTTTTGCCTTTCCCATGTCTTTTCTTGGCATTGGTAAGGAATAACAAGCTTGTACATGTTTGCCCCATGCGAACGAAGGACTTGGACCTGCTTGGCGCATTTCATCCGCCGACCGAGCTGTTTCTGGAAGTTTGACCGACGGAAGTGGGCCAGCCTTGAGAGATACTCTCTTTGCTGGCCAAATTGTTCATGTCCGGGCGATTCGGGAGGCATCGGCTGAAACTTGCCCGCCTGGAGACCTAGATCCATTCTGGCTGACTTCAGATTGCCAAGCTGCCTTTTGTTTTGCTGCCTGACCTGAGCTGGGAAGAGCCGGAGCTCCTCACTCCCAGCAAGCCGCCTCAGCATTCCAACGTTGCAAGAATCATGTTAATGGTTTGCTTGTTGTGTTTTGTGCTGATTCCCATGCTTTGATCAAGAAATTCTAAGTGTTGCAGGTCTTGAAGGTACCTGTTCTTCCAGACGAAAACTTTCCATAGGCCCAAGCAAGCCGATCTGTGCCAGGTCGGCCACAGCCAGCAGCTACGGCGCGTGGTACGGCAGACGGAGCCTGCGGAAGTTGTGGTTCAAGACGCTTAAAGCTTGACATGGTTTAGCCTTCCTTTAGCACAACAACAAGCAGATTGCGCGCAGCCCTCGTTTGAACAGGGGCCAGTCTTGCCCGAGAGCAGCTTTGCAGAAAGTACATAATCCTGACGGCGCCATACCCTTCTTCTATGCGCAAAGCGAGGGCCGAGGCCATCGACAGGGAATGGCAATGTTCACATGCACCCTTTGCAAAAGGCGATGCAAATGTGTCAAATACAGGGATGGAAAGCAATGTGTCAGAGTCAGAGGACCCCTTCATTCCCATTCCCAGCCTTCAGGAGACCCACTTCTTCGTGGAGGTGCTGGGCTCTGCAGCGGCCCGAGAGAAGCGCATTGCAAACGGACGTCTCACACCCCAAGAGCCTTGTTGCGCGGAGATGGCAAAGGTCTGCAACGTTGCAAGAATGCACTGTGCGAGTCATGCCGTTAAGCATGAAGACAAAAGGGATCACCTGCAAGCACACAATTTGTTGGTTTTCTGCATTTGCAATGGTGGCGGTGAGTTTGGCTCGTACCAAGCCCAGTTCAGTCATTATTAGTGTGTGTGTGTGCGGTTCGCTTTTCTCCAGGTACCCTTCTTTGAGTTCTTTCAAGGGGAAACGAAAAGAAGCCCACTCAGAGTGGTCGACAATGGGCTGCAGGCCTGACTCGGAGAATTGCATTTAGATGTGTGTTCGACACAGCAGTTGCTGTTTGATTCTTTTGGCGACGAACCACTATGTTTGCATCTGAACAAGCAAGATGCGAGAAGGGTTCACAGGGCTGAAGGAGTATTTGATTCGCCTTGCTTTAGCAGTGGCCAACTGGGCCGGTATGTTGACAAATTGACGAGTTCCCAACATGTTGAGATCATATTCAGTCAGAAGATTTCAATTCTTGCTTTCTGTTGCGAGCTGAGGTTCAATTTGCGTGCCTCGTGGAGCCAACGCAGTGCATCCGATCGGTGGCTGGGCTTCATGAAGAGCTGCAGCAATGTGGCGGAGGTTGCAATTCCAGTCGAGCAGAGACCGCGCGTCTTTTTTAGCCACTGTGGCCAGACCGTTCTTTTGTGGAGTTGCCTTCGCCCAACAGATCCTGACACACTTTGAGGGTCCACTTGCGGAGAGGTCTATGTGGGGTTTTGGAGAAGAAGCTATCATTGGTTCCCCATGCAGGAACAGCCTCTGTTGGCAAACGTGTCAGCGTACCCCGCGGGCTTAGCCTTGTTTGAGGGCGTGGATAAGCCACGGAAAGCGCCTCAATTTGCTGAAAGCTTTGGGGTCTCTGCCCAGGTTTGCTTTGAGGTGCTTCGCAGCTTTCAGGGAGGGTTCCGGAAGGTTCCGGGAAATTCCGGGGGCTGTTGGGGATACCACCTGGGCTTATTTTTGCGGTGACTTCGTGAGAACACACAGAAAATTGTTCATGATTGGTGTGGGCAGATCGACACTCCCTGAGGAGAAGAACTAACACGCCCAGTCCAGTCCAAAGTATCCATTTGTGAGTATGTGCGTCCCAAGTGCAGCGCTTGTTGCAATATGCCTGGCCCGTTTGAACAACCACCCTCACACAATCACTGTGCAGTCAGCTGCCTGGCCTTCAATGGTTTGCTTCGCTTTCTCACTCTAACTTCCTTCACAAGAGCGGTTCTCTTTTGAAGCAACTGGCGGGTTCCATGTTGGTCAATTGTCATCCCTGTGAGGTTTGTTTATGGAAGGCTGACAAAATCTTGGGTCCTCCCAGCTGACCGAGGCGGGAGTTTTTGCGCCTCCGCCGCGAAGCGCGCTGCACACGGAGGAGGTGCAAAACTCGGCCGGATTCCCAGATGTGGCTGGATGATGGAGTTTTATGGGGCTGGTTTCCGAGTTTCCCAGGATATTCTTGCAGAAGCGAGCTTGAGGCTTGAAGAGCAAAAGCAGGCTTGTCCGCCAGGTGGTTGACCATGCAATTGCGGTTGAGAATGAGGGTTGAGGGAAGGGCGACACTACTTGGGTTGTTGAAGGTATTCAGCAGGCATGCTGAATGCTGCTCCCTTCCGGTAAGACATGTTCAGCTGGGTGTTCCGCAGCCTAGCAGTTTGACAGAGAGAAATGCGGACAATTGGACGAGAGAGTCACACACGCACATATGCATCTTTTCGCTGGTTTCACAGTGGCCCACCCACACTAGCCCTCTCCCAGGCATTCGGCAGTGGGATAATGAGTGAGCATTCCAGCAATGCAAAAGTGTTTGTGTGTGTGTGTGTTTGCGTTTCTGGCACCAATTGCTTGCCGCATAAGAAAGACAGACTCCATTTTGAGGTGGGCCAGTGCCTCTAAATCGCAAAGATGAGCTCAGCCCAGGCTCAAAGCGGAACAACAACGCCAGCCACCATGTCCTCCAGCACCTGGGATGGAAGCCTGGGATTGCGGCTTGGGAACGGCCTGTGGTGTCGAACACGTGCTCTTCGAGGAGTGAAGACAAAGAACGCGTTCAATGTCCCTAATCATCCATGGTGACTGAGAGGCCAAAAGTCCAGCCTTCCTCGTGCAGAAGGATTTATTCAAAAACCCGCTATGTGTTACGCACTTGTCGTGACTCATGGATGCCCCGGAACAACCGAGTCCGTGCTTCAGGATAACATCAAGCTTTGTTGGAGCAGAGATGGCGTCACTTTCCGCATTCCTTGTTCTCAGGGTTCAAGAGATGTTGTTTGCTAGGATCCACATGCAAAAGGGTGCACTGTATTCTTCCCATTGCATCCTGGCTAAGACCTGCTGCATTGCAAGTTGCAACTAGCGTGGGTAACAAGCCATGGACCTGATGTTCCTTTCCCGGGAGGTTAAGGGAGATCTGGGGGAAGGCCCATGTTGAAGGTCTTGTCGTTGCGGGGGCAGACCCCATGAACATATGCATTCGGTCCGAGTGGCACACATATCCTGGGAGTGACTTGTTTGATCAGTGTTTGCAAATAAGTTTGTGCTGCGATCACTTTTGATCAGCTGCTTGGTGAATGACAGTTATGCACATGTGTCCTGAGACTTGGCCTCACGTCAAGAATTAACAGTGCAACCACTTCACCACCCCGTCGTTTCTGCCCGGCCTTCTGTTTTTCACGTCTTAGACCCTGTTCCTTTCCAAGGTTTTTGGTTTAGCACCTAGTCGGCTTTTTTGAGGTGAGAACGCCGAGAACGAGAGCCATCAACTCATAGGCGGGCGCAAGAATTCAGAACAACATGGCTCAACCCAAAAAAATATCCCACCTGCAATCCAAATCGTTGGCAGTCAATCCGAGCTGGTCGTAGGCACTGCCCACCCCAGCCTGTGAGCGTCTGACTTCATGATCAAGCAGCCAGCCTTGGGCTACGTAGCCACTCCATTGCACAGCGTAATGGTTCCCCCCACACCGGATATCTCTCAGTATGCAGGGGTGAGCCTGAAGTGCGCGTGAACATGTGTTGAACTGTGGCTTCACCTTGTGGATCCTGCGGATCCCCTGCCAGTCCCCTCTCTTGCCGGCTTTCCTTGGCAAGGCTTGCCGGGGGTGCCTTTCACCTTCTCCTTGCTTGAGAGTCCCTGGCCTGGCACCTCAGGGGCCCAGCGACAGATTGGCAGAGACCCAGGCGTTTGAAGTGAAGGGCCACCTGTTTGATGAAGTCGTTTTTTTGGCCGCACCCGAATCAATCCCATAGAAAAAGTGTGACTACTGAGAAAGGCATTTGGAAGAAAGGACAAGCACCGATGCTTTTTTTGTGGTTCGGCTAAGTGGCAGTGCGACAAGCCTTTGGAGTGCTTTGACGTTGCTTCACAGAAATCCAGACACAGGCAGCATTGACTTGGGTTGCGTGTATGCAGATAGCCAGGTTTGCCGCCGCACAAGGCGTACCGAAGAAGCCAGAAACCACTGCTTGCGACTTATTCCATGCCATCTCTGCAAATGCGCATCCAGTCATTTCTTGGCAATTTATGCGGGCAACACAAGCTTGTGAATTTTGTGCGCACTGTGCCGGATGAATCTGTCGGTCAGAGCGTTTCACTTTGCGACAGAGTTCATGTAGATGTCCGGTTTTTTCATTTTAGAATAAGTATTGCGCCGGAGACGCCCAAATTGCAGACAGGTAACCTAAGAACGAATCTTTAACAGGCAGTCTGAAGAATTACAAGTAGCTGATTCAGGACTGCTTGCTCTCCCTTTTGATGGTTTGTACGCATCAGCTTCGAAAACTGATTGCTGCCAGGGATTGCTGAAAGCAAGGCATTTGCCTCGTGTGTGAATGAGGCATTTATGGAGTGATTTGCTGCTTTTGATCATTCTCTACACATTAGCGCGGGCACTGGGTTGGCATTGAATGACGACAAATTGGTGGTGGATGACAGTAGCTGTCCCCATGTAATGCATCAGTGCGACAGGAAAGAAGACTCCCGTATCGGACATTTCATCAATGCCTGCCAGATTCCAGGGCGTGCTCGCGGAATGATGCGAGATGCATGTGCAAGGGATCACACTGTCCCGCCGGATAAGTTTTATCATTTGCCCCACTTGCCAAAATTGAAGGAACTCTGCCGTCTACTTTCGCCTGACGGTACGAGGATCACACTGTTTAGAGCAAGCTGGCTATGTCAAGCGGAAGTTGGGATGAGTTGAGTATATTCTTGTGTAATCAGTATCGATTATATCAAGAACAGGCACTCTTCCAGTCTACTATCTTCGGTTTATTCCTGGCAAATCTTGCGTCGTGCGACCCCGAAGACGTGCCTGGATACGTCTGCTGGAACAAGTTCTTCCGGGCCCAGGACTCCAGAAAGGAGCTGGCTGTATCCGGCAGGGGCCCGCAGATGCGACATCTTCGCTTGCGTATTCGTGGTTACTGTTTCTTTTACTGATTTGGCATGGAGGTTTCGCAGACGATCTGTTTTTTGTGTATGAAGAGCATTGTCCCAGATTGTCCCAGGCCAGGGACAGCTTCCTTGGGGTTGCTGAGATCGAGGGTTGTCATATTATACCAAATCAGGCTGATGACGTGCTTGAAGGTTTTAATCAGCGTTTTTGTTTTTTTGCTGGATTTATGCGTGCTCAAAGTCTCCCAAGGCATGTGCATTTCTATTCTTTGATTCGCTTTGCATACAGGCCATGCATGATGCTCCTCCAGCGAGTCTCAAAAGCGTACCTTTCCCATTCCAGAACCTCAATAGACCTTTGCTCCCTGGCGTGTATCTTTCTCACAGGAACCACCGGACTCAGGCAGCATTTGGACCTTTGGCACTGGTTCGCTTCCAGAATACTACACGGTTGTTCAACGTCACTTTCATTTCCTCCCACCGGCCATTTTGGCATGTTTGCATAAATTGACATGTTGGGGCATTTGAGATTGAATGAGAATGTCCAAACATTAGGTTTTTTCCCAAGGACCCTGCTAGATTGACAGGATACATCTGTTCTGCGACGCATCAAATTGCAAGGCAAGAGTGATGTCAACCAATCATCCAAACTTCTATTCGGAACATGCATTCAGGCTTTGAAACAGATGCCACAACTTGAAAGGCAATGTGCTGCTAGCCATGCTGTCAACCACAGGGCCAACGACTGAGCCATAGTGTTGGCTGCCAACACTATGGCACTTAGCATGGCCGTTTGACACTTTGTATCATCTACCACCACTTTGCACTGGAGACCTGCAATGCCGCTCAGGCGTCCTTCAAGCAAGTTGTGGCCACCGGCCTCTTGTGCAGACCAAGAGGAGGCTGGTCCTGCCTCTTTTGCCGTCCCGACTTTGTGCGACCTATAGCACATCCATGTCGTCATGTCCTGCTCATGTAGCGGAGATAGCGGGCGTGCTGGCGTTACATGAGGCCGATTCGCAGCTTGATAAGTGGCTGACACTGTGCTCTGGTCGTTTGGCTTAATTTGTTTGGATTTGTGTGAATTCCCTATGGGAAAGAAGCTGGGGAAGTCTTTGCGGACCGCTGCTTGCTGTCGGTATATGCTAGAGCTATGTACGACTGTAACCTGTTTTGAATGATTGAAACTATGAACCCCAACAGGATGGAGAGTAACCAGTGGCCAGAAGGATCCTTTATATAATCCATTTTCCAAGGGGGAATCTTCTTCAAGCCACCGTCGTCCAATTCCTTTCCGGTTAGCCTGATCGCTTCCGAGATTGCAGGTATGGTGGGCCTGCCCGCGGAGATTTGGATCAAGCACGTCCTCCCTTGGTGCTCGCGGAGGTGGTTCGAGGCGGACTCGGCACTCCGCGACTCGCTGACGGGAGCGGTGTGTTTTCGAGGGCACCAAAGGATGTTCTTTTTGGCGAGGTTGGAGACGCCTTGCTGCGTCCATGCAGATGGTGTTCACGTTTTTCAAACTATTTATCATAGACCATCAAAGGAGTGTCTAATGAGGGAACCACGACAAGCCCACATGCAGAGCTGATTGACTTATGTTGCATTCTGTTGGCAGATTTGGCAAAGCTGTGAATGCAGCCACAGCGATCAGGATCGGGTTGGCGGTCAGCCCTGAGCTTCTGGCTGACCGCTAGAGCTGAACCACATACTGTGGCCTGGTCGTCAATCGTTGTCGATGTTAATTTACTTCCCTTTCAAGTACCATCAAAAAGGGGTTTCCAGTTGAAACCCACCCACCCAATTATCTTCCCTCTGCCATGTTTTTCTTCCAGTAGACCACTGGGCAATGCTTTGTGGCCAAGGGTGAACAACAGCCCTTCGAGAGCAGAGAGTTTGAGAAAGCTAATTGAAGGGTAGGCAGCTAAGTAGCTTGTTGCATGTGCCATAGCGTTGAAGGTACGGGTAAGACCTAGCATTCCCTCATGAACTGCGCAGCACCAGCAGGCCATTGCGAGCACTTTGTAGTACAGTTTAGTGAGGGGTGATGGTAGCAATCTATATCCTTCTCAGATGAAGCTTCTCATCCGTTCCCCATTCCCCATGTGTTGAGCCATTCCAACCCGGAGCACGCGGGGGCCCGGGGTCCCGCCCTGGACCAGTAGCCAGGCTCGACACGGCACTCCTGCAATACAGCCACTGGCTGCACCAGCTGAGGCAAGTGTGGTGTGGTTGCGGTCAGCTACAAAAGGTGACGTGTATGTCTCTTCTTGTGGTGATCATTTTCATGCAAGGCACACTCATAGAACAGCCATTCACCTTGAATGATGCTGTTTTCTGAATGCGATGTCTCACCATTTGCAATAATCATAGCAGAAAACAGCTATTTACCCGTTTCCCGGCTGAAGGCGCGCCGCCCAATTGACGACCTCGGACTCACGAACGAATAGTTGGTCAGAAGGGTCCCCTGTGGTACCTTCAACGGTATTTGGTTGAGAGGTCCAGTAATTCGCTTGGCGCGGGATTGGCTGAGAAACCGAGCAAGTTTCCAGTGCCTTGTGTAGCCCAACAAGAGTAGAATTGCGGGACTGGTCTGCTGGCGAGATATGGTGAGTGTGCACTGAATTTCATTGCTTGATGACCTCGCTTCGCATGGCCTGCAATATCTGGAACTTGTTGATATACCTACCCAACCGAAAGTCTGCACGTTGCAGAGGGCGTCATTTTCTACAGGTCACGTTGGATCTCGAAGTCTTACGCACGCACACAAACACTCGCACCACAGAGCTTTGTAGTGGTGTTAGTGGTGACTGTGATGCTCAGGTTGCTTGAAATCATACCAATGTGCATGTCTCCGCACTGTGTGCAAGGAGGGGTCCTCATTTGTTTCCACTTACATTTTCTTTTGGTCGAGTCATGGCATACATTTCTATTGCATTTTCTTTGTAGCTTCATCGACAAATTGCTTTGGGGCTCCGCTTCATACTGGCCATATCTTTGGTAGCATAGCCGACCGAACGAGAGTTGTCGAACTCGCAATGTAGGTCCTCCCCGTACTGAGACTGTGTTCCATTTGAGCTGAACCAGGACCCGGCAACAATTGATGCCAGCGACTGGCAAATTTGCACTGGCAGGCGCCCTCCTTGGTCCTGCCTTGCAAGGACCGTGGGACTGGAGACTCGCAACATTCGAAAGTCAGGATTTGTACCCGTTTGGCTCAGACCTTTCGCGGGATCAGGGACCCTTGTTTGGTGTCAGTCAGTCTTTGGGCTGGATGAGCAATCACTGAGTGGAGCAAAGGTGTGAGCAAGAGTCTTGCACACGACAGTGGTCTTCCACTCGACAGTGGCCCACTTCCTGCAGATTCCACTGACCCCCAAACCACATTGAGACAAGAAGGTTGCTGCAAAGGAACATGGTCTTCAGGACGGCTTCTGGCAGGTTCTATGCTAATAGCATTGCCCTATCAATTCCTATCAAGCCTTCAACCAACTTGAAGAAGTCAAATCAGCTTAGATCCCATGCTGGAACGCTTAGGTGATCGTTTATCTTGAAACATAGCAGCGGCTCAGTCGCGCAGCAACGCCTATAAGCACTTAGTTGACGTTTTCGTGTGGAAAAGGCACCACGTTAAACATGAAGCACTGAGCTGTGCCACGGTTTGTAAGTGAAGGCTGACCCGCCCGTCGAGGTTGCGGGAAAGAGCACACGTCAAATACAGCCAGTGGAAGAGACTTCTGGGCAAACAACGTTCGCTGGGGTTGGGACACCCCCATCCAAGAAGTGTCCCTTTCCTGGTGTTTTTTGTCGATTTGTTCGCCAATGGAGTGATTTAGTGGGAGTTTGCCGTCAGTTTTTTTGCCAGGAGGAAGAGGAGCCCGGCTCCCAGCCTCTGTTGAGGGAATGTCACCACGGGTAGAAAATCTGGCACGTGCTGTCAATTGCGCCAGCTAACAGCCATGGGGCAAGAGATTGTTGTTGTGAGAACCATGAGTCAGTGAGCAATTTTGTGTAAAGTGGCCCATGACCCAGGGCGGCTGTTTTCTTTTGGATACGAACTCAGGTGCGTCACATGCCCACACATAGTTGCATTGCGCTGCTCGACAGCAAACAAACGTAGCTTTCGGAGTATTAAATACAGGTCTATTTCATGCAGACGGTGTGACCTTGGCAAATAGTTAGTCGTTTAGGTTTGGGGGAGCTCCAGGATTCCTTTTGGGAGCTGCTAACATCAAGCCGCTATCTACGCTGAACCGGACGCAGAGGATGGGCATTTTTGCGTCCAACAGCCGCCCCAAGAGAACATGCTATTGACCATCCCGTCCCGTAAGTCACCGGTAAGTCTGATTAGAGAGGCATCTTTTTGAGGGAATGATCTACTGGTAGAGTCTTTCCCCAGCACAGTGCACATGTTTTATGGACCATGTTTGGCTTGACAAGAACAAGGAACGTCTAATATACTTGTATGTACACAGGCCATACATATCTAGAAATTCAGGTATATCTATACATATATACATGTATATGTACACACATGTGAATAACTATGTATATAAATATACAATATACATATATATATATACATATATATATATATACACGTATTTGCAGGGTTTCACTTGGAGCTGAGGTGGAAACTCAGATCCGAGTTGCGAGATGCCCCTAGGTCGGAGGACTCGGCCTCCACGAGGGCCCCGTCCTCCCAGCCGGGGCCCTGAGAGCGGGGGCTGGGTGAGTCGTGGCTGGTGCCAGAGTCACGGCTTGACCCCAAAGGCCCATGGGCTGGGTGATGCAACCCCCAAAGCCCCAAAAGAAACGCTTTCCATTATAACAGAAGGAGGTGATGCAGCTTTCGTTCCGGAAAGAGTGGCCGAGGCATGATGTATGTCCCTGGCCGAGGCATGATGCATGTCCCTGGTACCTGAGATCTTCGCAAAATCCAAGAGGGTCGAAATCCAAGAGGCAAAGATGTATTCCGAGATTTCGGAAGAGATAGCGAACAGCTGCCATGGATCCAGAACAACTTGAGGCTCTTACCTCTGGTCACCTTGGCATGCCAGCACATGCAGCTGTTCGCGTGGAGGCCTTTTTGGCCCGAGACTTGCAACCAGCTACTGAACCAACTCCTGCAACTTCCGCCAAGGTTGTATCACTCGCTTTTGGTTGAGGCGAACTGTTTTGGTAACGATTCTGTTGCCAGGACATGCATCTTGCCCACCGGATTTGGGCTTCCGCTTTGTGTCCGTCAGGTTTGAACCCAAGCAGCTGACGAATTGCAGGCCCATCCTGTCCTACAGGGCTTTTTTTTGTTTGAAAGCGCGGGACCTTGAATTCCGAATAGCCTAGGAGGAACTTTGGGTTCATTAGTGAGGCTTTGCATCAACATTTTGAAGCCTCCTACCTTGATCCATGCTGTCACTTGCTCCGCTTGAAGACGGGCCATGCCGTCCGATAGGTGAACCTATTATAGTGATCGAGCTTCCAACTGAACCTTCGTAGAAACCAGCTACAGGAATTTCGACAGGAAATCAACCAAACAACCAGGATTTCCTGCAGATGTTCCTCTGTTTTTTGTGCGCTTCTTTCATTTCAAGTCTTGGAGTTTGGCACTCGCGAGCCGAATTCGCTCCGGCTGAATTCGGCGCCATGGTGGCTGACGAGACGCTCTTCACGAAGGAGCGACAAGTCGAAAAGGGTTCCGAACTACCGTCGAAACATGTGAAATGCCAGATGTCATGGTCTTCACGTTGCTTTGCCTCGCTCTCAGGGAATACGTCCCTTGCCGGAGAAGCTTGTTGCTGTCTATTATCTCAAGTTTTCTCCGCTTGGCTGGAGTTTTGCCACCTCCAGGTCGTTCAACTTCGGCACGTGATTGGAACTGACCTTGTACATCATGCTATAGTCATAATTTGTGATACAAGTGACGACAGGCCAATTCAGCTGCTTGGAATTTTATGTGTCAGTATCGAATGTTGTGCACAAAAGCAGCGGGAACAAAGTTTGCTTACCTGCACTCGGTTCTTGCACTGATGTCAGCCGCTTGCTATGACTCTAGTAGTTAGAAGTGATTGACACCTTCCACATGCCACGACCGACAGGCTTTTGTTCCGGCCATGCTCCCCAAAAAGGTCGCACAGTATCATGTAGCTAAAGTGCCTGGTGGTCCGAGTCACATATTGGGGGCCTCCTCGAGGATTTTTTTGGGCAACGAAGCATCATATCTTGTTCTGCCAGGACCAGCATCTTATCTACCTGATTTGGGGTCCCCTTGTGTCCCTGTCATGTTTGAAGCCAAGCAGCTGACTTTGATTCGAATTGCAGGCCCATCCCTCAAGGCTACACGGCGTTTTTGTTCCCTTCTTTTTTCCCGAGACCTTCTTAAATTCCGAATAGCCTAGGAGGAACTCTGGGTTCATTAGCGAGGCTTTGCATCAATATTTTGACTCATGCGTCGTTCCGCCGTTGCGCTGAGAGTCTTTCCAGGATGGCAAGAGGGACCCCAATGCGTCGATGCTCCGAACCATCCTTCACCTCTCTGGCTCCACCTTCCCGCGGGTCGTTGCTCGCAGCGAGCTCTGGTTTCTCTGCGGCGTGAACCTAACGACATGGGGCGCCGCTTTGGCTAGTCTATCAAACCATATCAAACCCGTGTTTGTGCTGCCAAGGTGGGCACATCCTTATGGCCCCCCACAAATGTCATGTGGGATAGAGATTTCGTGATTCCTCCTAGACAAAGCGATTCTACCGGCTTATGCCAGCCAGCATTGATAAACCTCAAGGAAGGACCTCCGGTGGTTCTGTCAGCTTTGGTGAGGATTTCTGGTTTGTGCTTTTGCTTCCTGTTAGGAAATTGGCGCCTGGGTCCGCCTTTGAAGAAATTGACGAATTAAGCCCCCCCGCCCCCCCCTTTGCCCCAACTCACATATATTATATATACATATACATAATATATATATATATATATATATATATATATATTATAAGTACATGTTTTTTTTTGCGAAAACATTTTTATACGGTTCCAGAGGTTTCCAGAGGTTTCCAGAGGTTTCCAGTACGGTCCTCGTCCAAATGGGGTCACCCCTTTGCTCGGCACAAACCCCGTCAAAATCGTAGTCTGCCGAGTAAGAAATTGCTCTAGGCACGTTTTTGGTTTTGTCAATTCAGATTTGCATGGCGAAACTGAAATTACCATTTACAATTCGAACTTACAATGAGAAACCCCCTAATAAGCGCTGCCAGGATTTAACGTCAAAGGGAAGAGCCTGAAAATACAAATAATATTTATCAAAGGGGCGGTTTTCAATAGGGGAACAGGATTATAGCCCGCCGTGAACAGGGAGCAAAGGTCTTGCTACAGCCAAGTTATGTTGTTGGACGCTTGTTTGTTCCCAGACTTTTAACCGTTTTGCCCATCATGGAAGCCAAGCGACAATCCTTCGTGGCACTTGTGAACTGGGGAATCAGATCAGTCGCAACAAGCTCATCCTTGAGCTGCGAGCCCTGCAGGTCCATCAGTTGGCTTTGTGGGACATGCCCGTGCGATTGGTTGACCAAGTCGTGTTCCATTGGACATCATCAAATAGAAAGCCCAAGTTTGGTCTGCGGGCCATGTCATGGCGACATGACATGCGAGGCATACCAGCATGGGTGGCTAAATGCTGATGATTATGCGCGGTCCATCATCGATGTGGACTGGGTGACTTGGCAAAGCTGTGCTTGTAGAAAGGATTGCCTGCGGGTAAGCTGTTGCAGCCAACTTTACATAGTCCATGGATGTGCATGGCAAAGGGAAATGAGCGCGTGGTGCTAACAGTTAGGCTGGGATCCGCTGTGTTGGCAAGAGAGCGAGCACCAATGGAGGTGGACATGAAGATGCTGACGATGGTCAGCAGCTTCCTTCTTTGCTTCTATGCGTTCCAATGTTTTGCCAGGCTTGGAGCCAGTGGATTTGCCCTTGCATTGCAGCTGTAGAAAGCATACACGGCGGAGGGTACACATTGCGGATTGCTTAACATACTCAAACTAGGACCTGTTTGCAACCTCATCCAAGTATGCGTGCACGCACCATTCATTGTTTTTGGTGACCGGCTTGCCAATTACAAGCTGGACCACGGGATGGCTTGGGGTCAACATGTTAATCTTATGGCATAGGTTCACAGGCAAATAGGTTTTGAATAGGCGGAGACCTGACTCAAGCCAACACCGGCTGCAAACGCAGGACGCTTGGAAGGTTGGATCATGTCCACATGAATGCATTGTTGACTACAAGAACAGGCGGCAATCACAAGCAAAAGCCTGTCATGAGGCGGTTCACACAAGCTCGCTTGTTGGCCAAGCACATCAGCCATGCGATGTTCGTCACTTGGAGGTATCAGCACATCTTTGATCTGATCAGCAAGATGTTGGGATCCGCACACGACGTCGCGTTCCAGGCGTGATCGAATAAAGTGCAGCCTGGTTCCCTGAGAGGCCACTGCAAACAAAGTCTTTGCACAACCTCTGGCAGGTAGAGCTAGCGCTTCAAATTGAGTCCAAGGGGAATATGAGGGCGTATCATGTGCTGCATGGATGCCCGTTGCTTAAGCAGGTCTGCTTTTGTTGAGGCTTGAATTCAGAATTCATGGGTTACTAGGCTCCGGTCATGGACCCCCAAAAAGCATTTAGAGACAAACCAACTTCGCTTGTGCGGCCTTCCGTTTCGGGGTTCCCTATGGACAAACCTTCTCAGGCCCGGCTGTTCTTGCCGGATGCCACGGCCCGGCGGGTCTGTAGCCGACTGGTTGCGCTGAGCGCGGTGCTGGCGATGGCGCAGTGCTGCGGAGGCAAGCGGCGTGCGGCGTTTCGAGGACCCATACGGGGTGTGTCCCTCAGCTTTTCTATTTTATTGGGTTGCTTTGAAGAGAGACCACCGTTTTTTTAATTGTTTTGACAGAAAACCAACGCGGCTTGGGTTGTTTTCGAAGGGAACCCACCGTTTGTTTGGTCGCTTGGAAGAGAAACCACAGCGGGAGACACACCTTCTTGAATTCCAGCACTTCTTGGCTGGTGCAACGCTTCCGTTTATTAATGGTTCCTATTCAGCCTTGCAGCCTACAGCACGCTGCTATTTTCCCGCAGGCCAACTGTATAACTGTGAAGCAATCAGGAATCCTCAGGAGAGCTGACTTGCCTTCTCGAGAGAGAATACTGGTCGGTCTTGGGGGTACCCCAGTGGGCTCATGCCGGCCATGCCGAGCGGAATCTGCCCAACTGTTGACTTGGAGTGTGCTTCTTCCAACATGGGGTGGCACCTGTCTCCCGCAACCTGTGATTCTTAGGAGGCAATCGGCAAGCATTTCAGCAGGGTTCACCTCGTTAGGGCCACAGCATTCAAGTCGAGTGAAGACTCGTCTGAGCCTTCGTCTCCAAGGCCAGCGCTTTCAAACACGCGAGTCCGGGATAATTAAAGGAACGTTTGTTCACCCTGAAAAGCACGCAAACCGTTTGATCCTTGCTTTTGATAGGAGACCAGCCTTCCGGCCGGAAACTGCCAAAGGTTCATCCTAGAGCCTCCGATGCTCACAAAATTGGGCGTACTTTCCAACTCCACAAAACTTGGGGGGGGCCTTGTTGCCCCCCAAAAGAGACCCAACTCCACAAAAAACATGAGCATGGTTCGTGCCCAGAAAACCCCTGCCATCCCCAAAGCCATCCCCGCGTGCG